TAATGGTTATTTTCTAAACGCAGCTTAGATGTGGCACACGGCCGAAATTATGGGGCACTTAGTGAGGTTCGAACTCACTATTTAGTTGCAACTGTTCTAGCGAGACAAGCTCGCTAACCATTACACCACGTCGAAGTGTGTGACTTGGTGAACTAATGTGGAAGTCTGTTAGTGTGGAGATATGGAAATCACTAAAGTGATCACCGAAGTCCTTTATCTAAATATACACCAATTTACGGCCTTTATATATATATATATATATATATATATATATATATATATATATATATATATATATATAATATATTTTATGAATTTTTATATTTAATTTAACGCTCTATCTCTGATATTGAGCACTTTATCCCATAAATATGTTTTCACATTCAAACTATATTTCTGCATATATCTATATTAAAACTATATTTCTGCATATATATATATATATATATATATATATATATATATTGAATTTGTAGGTCTGATGATTTGGATCATAATTACGATTCCAATGTAATAAATTATAACCATGGAATATTAGTGTTTAAGCCTTTTTATTATATTCTTACTTTGTCCTGGACATTGAGTTCTACCAGAATTCTATCCTCTTGAAATTTTATATATATATATATATATATATATATATGTGTGTGTGTGTGTGTGTGTGTGTGTGTGTATGTATATATATATATATATATATATATATATATATATATATATATATATATATATATATATATATAGAGAGAGAGAGAGAGAGAGAGAGAGCCTTTGTTAATGTGTATATAAGTATGTAAGTATTTCTTGACAGCAGTAATTCTTTCGACTCTCTTGGATTTTTAGGTGTGTCCAAAGCTTGAGGGTAAGGGACATGAAATTCTTTTCACCTTCTGGTCTGGTCCGTTTACCTACCCATCATTTTCTATCTTAACACTTTTTTTTTTTTTTAAGGCAATAGAATTCATTCCCGAATTGTTCTTGATTTTGATTGGTTCCAGAAATGACTCATTTAACAATCCCTTTTTCTTCATCTTCGTTTAGGAATGGTAACCTTTTAACCTCTTTTATTTCTTTTTTTATCTTTTTCTTATCTTTTTGTTATTATTTCTTTAGGGTAAACCAAAATGATTTGCCAACTTTTAGCTCTCTTTTTTTTATTTTTGAAATAGTGATCTTTTTATTTTTCCATTGCTACAAGCTTTTGGATGTTTTAAAGCTATAATTCTTTTTTAAAGTTATAATTCTTTTTTTTTTTTTTTGAAAGGTATAATTCTTTGGATATTTCTAGTGATTTTGTTTGAACTCCAGATCCATGTTGAATTCTTCTTATTGCTGAAACAGAAAGTTCAAAGGAAAGAACGAGACATTGGAAATAGATTTAGAAACTTTATTGCAGAGTAACAACGGTCTGTTGAAGGGAAGTACCTTACCGAGCAAAAGACACGTGTTGACCCGTTGAAAGTTCAAGGGAAAAGAGAGCGATTCTTCTCGTTTTGTTTTTCCGCGCATGCGCCATTTGTTCTTCCTGTCAGGGAGCATCCCGGGAGATTTTTTTTTTTTTGTATTTCTTTTATCTAATTTTGAGTTTTTTTTTTAATTTTTTTTTTATTTTATCAATTAGACAATCCCCACAATCTCTCCACAGATTCATTTTTTTTTTTAATATCTACGAAAGTCCATACCCTTGTGCGAAGACTAAAGTAGTTTCTCGTTGTCTTCTCTACGGCTTTAAATTCAGAGCGGTCCTTCTGGACATACTACCAGCCAAGGCTACTAATTTCAGTCGACATTAAAGAGAGGAAAATGGATTCTTTTCTTTCCCAAGGGCAATAGTGCGAAATGAAAACAAACTGGCTCGCCCGGAATTCGAAGTCTGCCTGTCGCTTCCTCCTTTTAGTACCAGTAATCGTTACACTAACAGTCCATCTGCAGAAGCTAGTGTTATGTTTGAAATAATAATAAAATTATAATAATCCCTGGTCGTGTGGCTGCCGAACTAAAAGCCGTCGAAGTTAACAATTTTTTTCTCTTTTGAGACAACATGTTACAGACAGCCACTGCGCATCTGCTGGACGGACCACAAAACAAACGAGTCGGTACTGGATACTCTCTTTTCATGTGCGGTTTCCACTCAGGTCGTAGGCGATTATGGTTCTCCACAATCTCCTGCTCCTTGCAGCTCTAAATAAATTCTGTCTTTTCGTTATTTTTAAATTCAGTCCCTCCATCTATTTTCTTAAGCTTGTCAGGTATGTTATGCGTTGTTTTTTCCCCCTGTTCCTCTTGCCCTTGGTTCGTCTTGTGGGTAACAAATTTTCAAAGCCTCCCCTTCCTCATTATGCGTCCCAGAAATTTATAATTTCTCTTCCTGGCGTTAAATATAAGTTTCCTTTTTGTTTCCATATTCTCTAAAACCTCGTCAGCATCCTTCTGTAGAACCACATTTCTGCTACTTCAAGTCTCTTCCTCATCTGTGAGGAGATTGCTCAGTATTAACTAACATACAGTAAGATAGTAACAGCTCATTAGTCTTTGTTTATAACGAAGTTTTTTTTATCTCTTAATACTCTGCTTAGCTTTTGGAAGGCATCTTTGACTATTCCAATGCGACTTAGGACTTCAATATTAGAACTCTTCCCAGATACACTATTTACATTATTCGGACTATTGTCCTCATCTTTGTAGCCATATTTATTTCAACGTTTCGACCGTTGTACGCTCCGGCCTTATTCAGGTGGTTGGAATGTCAAGGGCACATGGCACAGTGGATAAAGGCGTTAGTTAGATCCAGTGACAGGACCCAAAGAGTGTGAGTTCAATACTCGGTTAAGGCAGTGGAGAACTTGGAGAAGGGAATTAACAAGAGATAACTGACAACTGACAGCCATTAAACATGACACGTGGAACTAGAACATTCTACCCCAGTGAGCGAAATAAAGTGTTCAGTTCGACATTCTAACCACCTGAAGAAGGCCGGAGCGTACAACGTCCGAGACATTGTAATAAGTATGGCGACAAAGATGTGGTCAATAGTCCGAATAATGCAAATAGTGTACATAATACCTCATCTCAGAAATATAGATAGATACTGAAAGGCCGATACGTTGTAATAAATATGGCGACAAAGATGAAGACAATAGTCCGAATAATGTAAATAGTGTACATAATACCTCATCTCAGAAATATAGACAGATACCATTCCCAGATATTTGAATATTTTCCTTGATTGATTTGGTATCTCCGATTTGTAATTTGCATTTTGGGCTCATCCTTTTGCTACTAATAATGCATTCTGTCTTTTGCAGTTTATGTTTAATCCTTTCTTCTCGCTTTCCTTCACTATCTTCTGTAGGGGTTGTAGTTTTCTTTCTGTGTCCGCTATCAACACTGTCATCGGACAGTCAGCCTAATGAGCCACATAACAAAACTCATCATCCGAATTCTGATGAATAGAGTGCACAGCAAAATCAGACCGGAGATAGGACAAGAACAGTGTGGGTTCGTCAAAGACCCCGAAACAAGGAACACGATATTTGTGATCAGAATATAAGAAAGAGCAATACAAATGCGGAAGGACGTGAACCTGTGCTTTATAGATAACGCAAAGGACGTTTGATCAAGTACGAGAAAAAGATCTGGCCGCGACCATAAGGAAAACTGCAACATTTTGGCTATAGTCATTAGAGCCTTCTGCAATCAGATCCGGGAGGGACTCATCGATGGCCGTAGGTCGAGGAGGAGATCGAAGCAGCGTCGGGCTGACGATATCAGAGATTGGAAAGGGGGAATGCTAGCGGAGTGCACGGTCGTGGCGAGAGAAAGGAAACCGTTTAGAGCCTTAGTTGCTTATTGTCCTCGACCCTCAGAAGTGAGAATAGGAATAAGTAAGCATTGATATTCTCGTTAATTCACTATAAACACTGGTCGATATGACCAACGCCTAACATTATCATGGAATAGTGATTGAAATATGCGGGCGACATTTTGTCTGCGGGAAAGAGGATGTCAGGTTGAAAATGATTCATCACCCACAAGTCTGGGTAAACTGTTTACATCGCTGTTAATGATGGAAATTGAGTATTAAGCAACTCCATCCCAGATATGACATCAAGACCACGTTTTTCGTTTGATATGACTCTTGTAAAGGTAGAGCATGACAGGAAAAGTCAGATGCTTTCTGAAGTGGCACAATAAACCGACATTTCCTCATCATTAGCGAAGGATCGTATATATGAGTTTCCCTTGAAGTTTGGTTTTAACTTGATTTCCAAGAGTTTTATAATCTCAGAACGACCCTTGCTGCCATTTTTATGATGATATTTCGTCAATGCCAATATAGTAGAGACTTTGTAATTGCAGATACAACTATAATCCGCATTTGAACAATACTAGACGCCTACGAACATTACTCGTACTAATAGTACCTCCTATAGTGAATAGAGTAGAGAAATAGTATAGAGAAGAAACGGAGATTCGTATAGTATAGACTAGGAATAGCGAACACGTAGAAATAGAGTATAGACTAAGAATAGCGAACACTCAGACGTCACGCGACTTCCTCATTATATGCGCTTCCTCTATGGTCACTTGATCTACCTAAATCAATAATGAGATCGCCTGTGTTTGTTCACTGGCGATCTACGTTCAAGCACAAGTGTTGGCAGCGACACTTTATTCCTATATAACAAATAATCTTCGTTGAGAACACAGCCGTTCACTATGACTGGATAAGTTTGAAAAAGTCATCCTTAGAAGGCTTGTACAGACAAACGGACGAAATGCGATAAAAAACAACAAAACAACGAAGACAAGAAAATTAGCCCGGATTAATAAAAATACAAGCATTCAGTTATCTGACACGTACCCAATAAACACAATACATAGAGAGTACACCGATAAGGCAACCATTACTGAAGCATTCAACTCTTGTTTACAGAAGACGCATCTGATATTAACAGAGAGTGACCAAAGGCAAATCCTGAAGATTTTCTATAGTTATTCTAATGTCTTTTTTCCTCGTGATACAGTGTCTCGACCGGACACTGGTTGAGGATGCCGTAAAGAAAAATCAAGCTGCGTCGAGAAGTCGGTCGATTGAGAAATGGCGGCTCTCCTAGAGACATACAAAATGGCGGAAGCAGTGACGCCCCTTGAAAGAATGAAAAACGTGCTTCGTTGTCAACCAGCTGAGTATTCGTTTTAGGGCACCGGATCTGTAATTGAATTCTTGTCCTGATAGACGGTTGGGCGCGAACAGTGATACAGTTTTCTTACCATAGAAAAGCAGTTTCATTGGAAATTACTTTGTTGCATCGTATTAGAAAAATATCCACGAACAAAGAATTATTTATTTTTCATATTGACCTGTTCTATCGAAGTATTGCGTACAGGCAGGCTTTGTTAATTTTGGGTATAACTGTTTATGGGTCACGAGCGGACTATTTCGTTGGATTTTTAAATTTAAAGACTTGTAAAATTTATCATTTGTAAATTATTTTTAAAAAATATATTTTGCAATAGATTTATAGTTCATTGGTTTTGTATAAAGTTAACGGGTGCGAGGAAACTTTTTTTTCATTATTTTTCACCAAATACAAGTCCCAAGAGCCAGTCAAGTTAGAGTATTACGGAATAAGTCGAGTGGTAAAAAGAATGAAGACAATTTATTTGCTATAAAATGTATCCAGAATGAAGCATATACTGCAATATTTGACTACAGTAGGCCGACTAATATTGATCAGAAGTTAGGGTTGCATTATATACGAGGTATAAGAAAAAAAATTTACAAAAGAATTCAGAGGTGGCAATATACGCAAAGTAGACTTATTCACGAGTACGCACGGTAAATTATTTAAATCGTAGGTTTTGTAATTTTGAGAAGAGTTGTTATCACAGTAATAGTAATACTAACCGTTTCCTTATAAGGAAACATTCAGCATTTATTGACTGAGCAGCTACTTTCGGTTGAAATTTATAAAATCGTTCTATAAAAATAATTGTTTTAGGAAAGTAGGTTTCTAAAGTCTAGTAGCTGTTATCGCTTTTGTCAGTATTGACGAGAACAATTACCGTAAAAACTCGTAAAATCTATCTCAAAATGAAGAAATGATTTTGATCTGCACTGTTAGCTATTAGTATATTCATGTGATTAAAACTAATTACTTGACCTATACACTCTAGTATAGTTTTTATGATCAGTTATTTTATGCAAAAAATAGGGGGCAGACTATACACAGGTAATTTGTTTTGAAAAGGCTAAAATTATGCATTATATGAGGAATTTGTTGATTTTAAGTGGCATACATAGTAGATGAGGTTTTGTACTCGACGTAGCGACAAAAGGGAAGAAAATCCGGTGACGTAAGAGGCAGGCCCAGGGTAAAGAGCTACCGTATTCTATATAAAAGAAAACGAAAGTACGATATCTAAATCTTTGTATCAGATATTTTATGGTAAGTGGATTTTCTAACCATTTTTTGAGTAGCGTTGTGTAAAAAAGAATGAAGACTATTTATTTGCTATAAAATGTAACCAGAATGATGCACAGTACTTCAATATTTGACTACGATAGGTCTACTAGTAGTGCTCAGAAGCTAGGGTTGCATTATATATATATGAAAAAATATATGAAAAAAATATATGAAAATATATGAAAAAAATATATGAAAAAAATATATGAAAAAAATATATAAAAAAAATATATGAAAAAATATATGAAAAAAATATATAAAAAAAATATATGAAAAAAAATATATGAAAAAATATATGAAAAATATATGAAAAATATATGAAAAAATATGAAAATAAAAAATATATGAAAAATATATGAAAAAAATATGAAAATATAAAAAAAATATATGAAAAAATATATGAAAAAATATATGAAAAAAATATAAAAAAAAATATATGAAAAAATATATGAAAAAATATATGAAAAAATATATGAAAAAATATATGAAAAAAATATTGAAAAAATATATGAAAAAAAATATGAAAAATATATATGAAAAAAAAAATATATGAAAAAATATATGAAAAAATATATGAAAAATATAAAAAAATAAAAAATATATGAAAAAATATATGAAAAAATATTTGAAAAATATATGAAAAAATATATGAAAAAATATATAAAAAATATATGATAAATATATGAAAAAAATATCTGAAAAAATATCTGAAAAAATATATGAAAAAATATATGAAAAAAAATATATGAAAAAATATATAATAAAAAATTTATGTAAAAATATATGAAAAAATATATAAAAAAATTATGAAAAAATATATGAAAAAAAGATTACAAAAGAATTCAGAGGTGGCACTGTGCAGAAAGTAGGCTTATTCACGAGTATGTACGCTAAATTATTTAAAGGTGGAATTAATGGATAGCGGCTCGGATTAAGGAATGGGAGAGCCGAGTTCGAATTTCAGTCGAATCTATTATATACACTTACGTGTGGGAAAGGTATGAATCCTCTTCTTCTCCCCCCCAGCTATGGATAAATAGCAGGACAGACCGGGTTCTATAGTCTTGGATGGCAACTGGTCTACCGCAGAAAGAAATGGCAACCTACTGCGGGAAAAAATCTGCCTCGTCAGTCATGTATCGAAAGACACATGATCGCCTAAGCGTGTATTACGTATGGCATATAACTGAATGGTAATACTAACCGTTTCCTTATAAGGAAATATTCAGCATTCATTGATTGAGTAGCTACTTTCGGTTGAAATTAATAAAATATTTCTATAAAAACGATTTTTTAGGAGAGTAGGTTTCTCAAATCCAATAACTGTTATCATTCTTGTCAGTATTGACAAGAAGAATTACCGTTAAAATATTTATAGGAGAGACAGGGGAAAGCTACGTTGCTGCGGTGGCAAGATTACTGAAGCCAAAGATGCCAGGTCTAGACCGAAAACATTGCAGATTCTTCTTTATATTTTATCAAGAATCTTCAGATATAAAACACCAGACCAGATATGGCAGCACAGCACAAAGACGATACGGAATTTTAGAAATGTACAAAATAGAGTCTGTCGAGAAAGATTGTTTAGCATGATACAGTGAACTGATATTCACAGTAGCATACTTAGTAAATGATTCCATATAATCACTCCAATTCATGTCAATGGAAAAGGTGAAACCAAGAAGGGGCAGTGACTTCCTCTCTTGGAGGTTAGCATCAGCCATGCTGATGGAAGGCAAAACACGTTCTTTATGCTGATTAATAGAAAGCAGTTTCATTTTAGGGACGTTAAATTTAACAAGTCACTTCTTGCCCCAGATTGTAGGTCATCATCTGCCAATTTGATCTGATCGAATCTATCTATTAAGACGGGAGTAAATAGTTGTGTCATCTGTATAAACACCGAATCGGAAATTGATGACATGAGGTTGTTGATGAAAATACGGAACATAGTAGATTCAAAGATAAACCATTGCAAAAAGATCGAGAGGAAAGGCCGTTCAAAACAACTTTCATTACGTACTTTAATATGGAAGACTGAATCAAAACAAAGAAACGGACAGAAGAAACAACTTTCAACTTGTGAAGAACAGCATGCCAAACCCAACCGCGTTCGAGATATCTAAAGACCGAAATTCGCCATTCTTGTCTGAAGCTTGACAGACTCTTTCAGCAATAATAATTAATACATTGGTGGGAGATTTAGAGAAGTGAAAGCCATATTGCTTGTCTGAAAAAAGACCCTGCGATGTGAGATGCTTACTCAATTCGGAGTTGATTAGAGCTTTTACTACTTTGCCAGAGAGAGGTAGGTCGACAGTTCTATCTATCTATCTATCTATCTATCTATCTATCTATCTATCTATCTATCTCATTCTGTTAATATCTATCTATCTATCTATCTATCTATCTATCTATCTATCTATCTATTGCTGTTTGTTCATATCTATATATCAGCGCTGAAAACGTGATATTGACCCCCGTAAAACCAACATTATCAGATTATTTTTTCCTGAAAGTATCTTTTGTCCATAGTGAATTTTTATACTTTCTGAAACCAACCGTGATTAATCCCCCACCTCCCACCGTCCGCATGTACATATACAAATCTATTACCTTTGGGAAAGTTATGGATCCACCTCCCCCCCCACCAGCAGGACACTGGGTTCTATAGCCTTTGATGGCAACTGGTCCAAGAGAAAGAGAACTCTGAATTCAAAACCTGCAAAAGGTCGTTTGGGGACCTTGTGGCATGTAGTGCACCAGATCTCTGAATTCGGCCCTTTCTTTTTTTTTTTCAGGGTTAACTATTTGCCCATAGCTGGGACCCTAACAGGTGTTACCACCCGGGTCAGGGTGGACCTGGGAACAGTGCTGGTGTCTGGCTGTTAGTTCCTATGCAGGGTGTCCATAAAATTCGTGTGTACTTTAAATAATTTATAAATTTATTTGTATTTGCGATAGAAATGATCTGTAAAAAATGTTATAAAGTTTAATGTACTTAGTTTTAAGTATGGCTAAAATAACTAATGTGATTTCAGGCATTAATGCAAATCAGTTGGCAAATATTTTTCGTGAACTGCAAAATCGTATTACCCTTTGTATTGCTAATGATGGAGGACATGTGGAAACTTAAATAAAATTTCAATAAAACCTTAAAAAATATAGATTTACTTCTTTCTAATCCTTTTTACAAATTATTTCTATCGCAAATAAAGTTATAAATTTTTAATGTGCACACGAACATTATGGACACCCTATATATATTTAATTAATACACCGAGTCTGAAAGAAACCTCAACAGAATGCAGAAAGCACTGGACTTTTTTTCGTCCTATATTTGGGACTGATCCGCAGTGCGCATCCATTACCGAGAATTGAAACCCTGACAGTTAGGTTGTCAAGCAAACATGCCAACTGTTCCAACGATGACGAAGAGTTTGCAAATCAGACTCAATATAGCGCCGTTCGCTCACATATGCCGTGGTGGAATATATATATTAGTTAGTTTTAAAAGTTTATCTTAAAAATTTCGTCATGGTTAATTTAAAGTTTTCTTGAAATTTAATAGCATAGAATTTAATCGTTCCAAATGTGGGCTACATTTTCTTTCATTTATTTGAAATCTGTTACAGCATATATTCTTACTGCGCCAAAAAATTGTTCAGGCAGCTTAGTGATGTTTCCGATTTCTTTGTTGTTCAAAGTAGGTTAGTTCTAATCGCCATATCTTAAATTACTTGCAGGAATTAGGTCGGCATTGGATCGTTTCTTTAGCTTCCTGACATTTGCCAACCAATTTGGCATCTGCGAAGTCTTTGAGTGATAAGAACGCTTATGTTATTTTGAACGCATACTCTCCATAACATTTCAGCCGGTTAATTCTCTTATCCTCTTCAGGTGATGTTCTTCTCCAGTAGTCAGCATCTTTAAAACGATAACAAATTAGGCACGTTAAACGAACCGTTATAATTTACAAGCATTTTTTTTTACCTTTTATAATTAATAGCATTTCTTAACAAAATTATTCTACCTGTACAGCGAGCCGATTCTAAGAGAACTAGAAGTTTTACCAGAATTTATTATTGTCAGCCGCCATCTTAAAAAAACAGGATATGCAATCGACATAGTAACAGAATAGAAACTGCAGTATATTCCACAGATGTTATTATAAAAGAATCCAAAAAGAAAGCACTAAACGACAATTATAATAAGACCTAATTGAATTGTTAGCAAAAGGAATTGCCCAAGATATGTGATACCAAAATCAAGTCTTAGGTATGAGGATAAACTACATCCGGTAGTAAGGCCTCTGATCGGGAGATTGGGGGTTTTGAGGAGCATGGAAATCCGACAGAATTATAGTTTAAGGAACAAATAGGAATCATTTATAGAGTTAACGTGTTACGCTTTTATTAAAGTTTTTTCAGAGAATGAAATATAGAGGGGGAGGAAAGAAAGAAAAGAGGAGAGTACTCAAAATTTCTTGACTCGACATACTTTCTTCAACTGGCGTAATCATCAAACAAAAATATTTCAAGAAACCCATGACTACTGTTGTTCCAAGGTTCACTCTGACACGGGGTTGTAGCACCTGTTAGGGCCCCAGCTAACGGCAAATAGTGATCCCCCAAATCTATGAAAGTATAAAAATATATCTTTATAGTAAAAATACCAGCAATGCATTATCATATAAAAAAAATCAACCAACCATACATATTTATAGTAGAGTTACCAACAATAGATTTTATAGCAAAAAGACCAACTATAAATTTGATGTAGTTGAAGACAAAAAGGTATGTTTAGAATATTTAGATTCGGGCATTAAATAACTCATAGAAGTTGATATGCGGTTAAACAAAATCAAATCAAACTAAAATCAAGTACGAAATTTGAAATATCTTGGAATCGTTTTAGCAGACAACATGAAACAGCCTGTCGTCTCTGAGTGTTTACTTCGATGTTCACTTTTATATTTACATACGCTCTATCTCTGATATTGAACACTTTATACCAAAATTATAGCCCACCTTTAAACTATATATATATATATATATATATATATATATATATATATATATATATATAGTGGACTTACAAAACTGAGAAAGAAAGACGCCGTAGTTTTTCTCATATATGATGGACTCTCCCGTCGATTTCGACGTATGACGATCCGACAATCTCATTTAGTTTTTATGCTTGTGTCGTATGTGACACTTCAGTCCCGCAAGTGATCTATATACAAATACACATATTGTGCAACAACGATTATCTCGGGACATAGCAACAGGAACAACTGTTGATGCTTTTCGACGTTTCCTGTCTTAGCCAGTCAATACGACTATATATGAGTACCTTAGGTATTGATGAGCTGTGATACAGCAAAACAGTCTATCTGTGGATAATATAAATGCCCCTGAAAGATTTATTTTGTTTGAGAGGAAATGTGAGTTTGTAAACAGTGACTATTACTGCTAATAATGCAAGACTCTTCAGTAAAACGAATCGAGTTCTCTCCGTCACTGTGTGTCTATCTAAAAATAAATACGCTTAAATTCACCTTCATCCCTGCCGTGAGCCAACGGGTAGAATCTCCCAGTGACGCCAATTCAGCCGGGTTTCGATCCTAGCTAGAAGCAACCCGACGGATTGAACTTTTATAATTTTAGTGACTATATATAAGGGTGTTTTTCATTTTACTAAACGTTCCCACAATACAAAGTGCAAGAACCACTCAAGGTATAGAGTTACTGAATATGGTGAGTTTTATGGACGTAATATCAAGAGGTAAGATTTTAAAGATAATAGGATATGTAATAATTGATCCTAATCATGAAGAGGAAAAGGTTATGATTGATAACAGCCGCGCCAGGAAATTTTTCTCCCCTGAATCGATACTTCAAATATACAAAACAACCATTCGCCCTTGCATGGAGTATTGCTGCCATATATGGGCTGGAGCACCTTCTGCTTACCTCGGAGTTCTTGACAAGATCCAGAGAAGGATATGTAATCTAATTGGCCCTGATCTAGCGTCTTGTTTGCAGTCACTATCTCACAGACGCGCCGTCGCCTCTCTCTGTCTTTTCTACAAATACTTCCATGGTAACTGCTCTGATGAGCTGCTCTCTCTGGTTCCCAGACTCCATGAATTCAAGCGCCCTACGAGGCTGGCATCCCGCTCCCACCCTTACACTGTAGAAACTTTTAAATGTAGCCGTCTCTTCTAATCCAATAGCTTCATACCTCGCACCTCTCGCCTGTGGAACACCCTCCCCAATTACTGTTTCCCTGAAAGCTATAATCTCCAACTATTCAAATGTAATGTCAATCGACATCTCCAATTACCTTGATCTACCCACCATCCTTCTCCTCTTCCTTTCTCTTATCACTCTTATCTGCTCTCGCTCCAAATCTTCCGCAACCCCCTGCATCCTAGTGGCTTCACGCCTTGCTTGGGACACAATGCTTAAAAAAAATATATATCTGGGCTGGAGTTGCCTAACCCTAAATTCTCAGCAGTGACTGTGTGTTTGCCCGGCCATACAGGCGATGAATTATTTTTGACCTTCCAACCATTTCCCCACAAAATTCAAAGAAGAATCTGCAATGCTATTGATCCTGACTTGGCATCTCGGCTTCAGTCATTTTCCACATATCGGTTGGCGCTAGACTTGAACAGTCTCAGATTGTTGCGATTGGAGAAGCAAACACTTGGAGCTGTTCTAGAAGAACTTACATCTCACTAATGGAATACGAAGGGAATGAAGGTAGTTCGCTACAACGTGCGTGGCAAAGCGGGTCTTGATCGTGAAGTTTAAGATTGGTGGAACTAAGGAATGCAGTTCGTCTGAGCAATTTCCATGGGAATAGCGATAGAGAAGCGAAAGGCTTACGACATTTCGCATGTGGGGAAAGGGGTTGTAGGGTGGAAAATAAGTCATCACCCATAAGGACGCGAAGACGCTTTTGAACTTTATCGAGACTGGAAAGTGAAACTGATCTGGCTCTCGTAAAGGTACCGGATAGCAAGAGAAATTATATATTTATTAGAGCGGCACAGGAAAAGGTCTGGATTGAGGGAACACACTTTCATCACGATAAGAGAAAATTCGGGATACGCTTTGTGATGTTGGAACGTTAATAGTTTAGCTCGGGAAAATTCTGAAGCTACAAAAATGAGTTCCGGATGAATTTACGAAAAGGAATGCTTGTTTTCTACCGCAAGTGATTCACTGAGATTAAAAATTATAGCGAGAATGCAAAACGGAGAATACCATGGCTGGATCTAGGTCTACTTGCATCGTCTTATCCCAGAAGCAATCTACTCGCTAAAAATGCTATTTTCCTTGTTTGGCGGAATTCAGAGGGAATCTTTACTAGTGTTGCATCGCTATTCTAAATTCGTCTAAAAGTGGAGGCAACAATATTAAGCACAAGTAAATGACTGGTATACGGAAATGGAAGACAGTTTCAACAAGACGATAATTTATCTTTTTCTTCTTATCATATCAGAGTAAAAAGAGAGAATAAAATAGACTTGTATGTATGCAAAAAATTAGGAATTGTGTGTGGGTGATACACACGCGTGTGCGTTCGTGTCAAAGTTCCGTTATTAAGGAAGAATATATCCGCATGTTCGGGAACAGTGCCCCGGGGACGTCATCGCTAAAGAATGCTGAGGAGGAGAGAGAGAGAGAGAGAGAGAGAGAGAGAGAGAGAGAGAGAGAGAGAGAGAATCAGGTTTTAATTGGTGGTTAACACCGTCCACTAATATATATATCTATCTCCATTCGTTCATATTTATATATTCCAGTCTGATCTATCTATCTATCTATCTATCTATCTATCTATCTATCTATCCATCTATCTATCTCGGTATGGTATCTATCTATCTATCATTCATCTATATCTATCTATCTTTCATTCTATCTATCTATATCTATCTATCTATCTATATATCTCAGAATTCATTATCTATCTATCTATCTATCTATCTATCTATCTATCTATCTATCTCATCTGATTATAAATCCCATCTATCTATCTATCTATCTATTCTATCTATCTATTTATCTATCCATCCATCCATATTTCATTATATGTCATATCATCTATCTATCTATCTATCTATGTCTATTTTATTATTCATTCATTCATTCATTCATTTATCTATCTATCTATCTATCCATCTATCTATTCCATTCATTTATATCTATCATCTAGATCTATCTATCTATTATCTATCTATCTATCTATCTATCTATCTATCTATCTATCTGTCTATTCTATTCATTCATTCATTCATTCATTCATTCATCTATCTATCTATCTATCTATCTAAAATCATTCTTTTATTCATTCATTCATTCATTCATTCATTCTATTATCTATCTATCTATCTATCTATTCTTTATTCATTCATTCATTCATTCCATTCATTTATCTATCTATTTATCTATCTATCTATCTATCTATCTATATCTATCTATCTATCTCTCGGTATTTATCTATCTATCTATCTATCTATCTATTTCTCATTCGTTCATTCATCTATCTATTCTATTCATTCATTCATTCATTCTTTTATTCATTCATTCTATCATTCTATCTATCTATCTATCTATCTATCTATCTATCTATCTATCTATCTATCTATCATTGTGCCTTGATCACGTCGAGATTATCAAATGTTCAGGTCACTATTGCTATTTTGTCTAAAATCAGTGGCAATAATATTTTTGCACGTGAAATGGAAAATAGAAGACAATTTCAAGAAAGCGACATGTGTTATATTTTTGCTTTTATATAACTGATTATAACTAGAGAAAGATACAACTAGCAATAAATGCAGACAGAGGAAGAAGATATTACAAGTTAGGTATTATGCGGGTGAATGTAAAAGTTCACTTACGAAGGGGAAATATATCTCAATGCTCAGGAACAAGATCCCGGGGATGTCATCGCTACAGCATGTTGGGCGGAAAACAGATAAAGAAGAGGACGAAGAGAGGAAGTGTACCGTTCTTATAGGTGCTTTACAGACCCCACCTGATGTCTTCGTGGCAAAGCTATGTGTGGAACCTAAACGATCTGTTATTGTGTCTTTTGAGTGATGTGCTTTGAAGCAGAAAACAACTTTTGCGGGTGCAAGGACAACAGTAGTGTGCAGTTCGTGTATATTGCGATGCAGGCAGGTATACACCTTCCACTGGGAGGTGCTTGGGTACATAAGCTTGCAAGAATCGTTAATTTGTCTAAATAAACAAACAAACGCAAAAACAGAAAGAAAGACAAAAAACAATTTAAATCTGAACTCGAAAAAAAAAAAGAACGACTTCAAAGATACGCATATTGAATCCTGTCAAGGTTGCCTATAGGAGTAACAGCTTTTTACTGGTATTACATAAGATTATCGTATTAAGGGTAATAATATTAACCGGAATGTATTATTAGATGAAGAATTTATAACCATTGTTAATTTTTGCTTAGCATTTCAATTTCAATATTTTTTTTATTTCTACTTTCTTTTCATGTGCCATGTCCTTTCAGGACGTAGGCGATCATGGCTCTCCGCCTCCTTCTATCCCTTGCAGCTCTCAGCAAGCTGCTCCTCTCTGCTTCCTCTTCCAGATCACGTTTTGTCATCCACTTGCTTAAATCCGCCAGGTATGACACGCGTTGTTTTTCCTTGTCTCTCTTTCCCTCTATTCGACCCGTGAGTATCACATTCTCCAGGCCCACCTTCCTCATTATGCTTCCCAGAAACTTGAGGAAGGATTTCCACTAGTAGTATTAAAAAGGAGCCCAGTATACTCGGGGTCATCCTTAGCTGTATAATATGTGCCTGCAGAGGGCTACATACAATTATAAATTCCTTCTCGTAGACAGATTGCCATCCAAGGCTATAGAACCCAGTCTGTCCTACTATTTACCCATAGCTGGGGAGAAGAGTTGGATTTAGACCTTTCCCAAAGGAATTAGCACGTAAGTGAATGTAATGGATTTGATTGGAAATCGAACTCGGTTCTCTGCTTCCTCAATTCGAACCACGATCCATTACTTTACCGTGTAATATTAAAGGAGTATTATTTAGCAAGTTATATGCCATACGTGATGCACGTTTAGGTGATCATGTATCTTTCGATACATGACTGTCGAGGCAGATTTTTCCCCGCAGTAGGTTGCCATTTCTTTCTGCGCTAGTCCAGTTGCCATCCAAGGCTAAAGAACCCGGTCTGTCCTGCTATTTACCCATAGCTGGAGTGAGAAGAAGATGATTCATACCTTTCCCAAGGGTATTAGCACGTAAGTGAATGTAATGGATTCGACTGGGATTCGAACTCGGCTCTCCGATTCCCCAATCCGAGCCGCTATCCATTTACCCCACCGTAGTGATATTACCTTTACTTTTTATTAGATGAAGCATTGTCAATTATTATTCATTTTCAACGAGTGTACTAATCAGTTATAGCAAATTTGGTAGAGAAAATAAGGAAATTGAATATAAAATACGATACGTTGGGGTTAGTTTCGCTCAACACCGCAAGTTGCTACAAAACCAAAACCTAAAAAGTCGAGATGTACTTCAATAGACAATATGAGAGCGAGAGTTTCATATGTATGTCATGCATGGCGCTAAACACGTTCCGAAATATCTAAACTGTCAGCTCTATACAATCGCTTTCGTAGATCAATGGTTAAAATGACTTTGAGCGAATGAAACCTGTAGGTAATCACAAAGAACTGTACCAAATAAAAGAAGCCACATTACTTGAAGACTTCAAATAACAGCAAGAAATAAAATTCATAACCTAATGAATTTTTTACTACATGAGATTGTTTTTATTAACTGTAAAAGGTCAGGAAGGAAGATTAAAATTCTATTCTTCGCTTTTTAAAACAATGAACATTGCCGAGGAGAGAAGGAGTGAATGTAGTTAAAATAATAGCAGCGTCAATGGAAAAACCGTCCTTTTTATTTGCGTTCTTTTGCAGGAGCGTGAATAGCCATGTTTACCGATTTTTTTTTGTCTCTTCTTTAATCATTAGTTTAACCTTTAGAAGATATCAGCTTTTGAGCTAAAAGAACATTGAATAAGGATTAAAAGTTTTAATCTTTCAAGGCTTGATTGCTTGCTCCTCAAACTTTGTCTTAATCTGGAAACATTCTCAAAAAAAAAAAAAAAAAAAAGACCCCCACTAAAAAAAAGAAAAAAAAAAAAAGAAATTAAAATTGACAAAAAAATCAGTTGTTTCCTTTGTCCTCTGCGGGGGTGGTGCAGATCTCGGGATTTTATTACCTGTCAAAAGGAGAGAAAGACATTGTAAAATATCGACTGAAATGCGAATGTTTATTTCAGTAATTAATATAATAAATAAATAGTCTAACTAAACAATATAACAAATAAATAGTGCTTTATTTTAATTGTAAATTCCCAAGAACAAAGAAAATGTATAAATTCACTTTCATATGTTTAGGTTTTATTACAATTCTGACAACCTATTTTTAAGACTTAAATATTGCTGAGGGAGTGAAGGTAGTTAAAATAATAGCGGCGTCAATGGAAAAACCGTCTTTTTGACACTTCGGCTTTTTTTTTTCGAGCACGTAGGTCGAAGTTTGCCGAAATCCAAATGTTTCCTCAGAATTACCATTTCCATACCATAGGCGGACCGAGAATAACTGAAGAAATATTGGCTAAAAAAAAATTTAATATCAAATAGTGTATATTCAAGTCTCGAGTAATCCCTTTTCCGGTGTAACCATTTCATTGCATTGCTTTCCTCCTCACGTTTCTCTCGGTGTCATCTTGTGTCGTCTTCTTCTGTGCCATGTCCCTTCAGGACGTTGGCAATAACGGCTCTCCACAATTTCCTGTCCTTTGTAACTCCTCATAAATTGTGTCTTATTGCTAACTCTCTCTAATCCTCCTCCGCCATCCATTCATTCAAACTCGTTAGGTAAGTTATTTCTTCTGTTTTTCCTAATTTTAACCTATCATGTGAGTATCAGATTTTTCAAGCCCTCTTTTCTCATGATGTGCCCAAGAAATTTCAACTTCCTCTTCTTAATTATAAATATCCTTTTTGTTGTCATTGTCTCTAGAGGTTCGTCGTTGCTCACATGTTCGGTCCATAGTATTCTCAGCATTCTTCAATAGAACCACATTTCTCTTGCTTCAAGTCTCTTCTTCATCTGTGAGGAGATTGTCCAGCATTCACTGCCACATAGGAGGACTGAGATTACATAAAAGTTCAGTACTCTTTTCTTTGTTTCTCTTGCTTCAAGTCTCTTCTTCATCTGTGAGGAGATTGTCCAGCATTCACTGCCATATAGGAGGACTGAGATTACATAACAGTTCAATACTATTTTCTTTGTTTCTCTTGTTTCAAGTCTCTTCTTCATCTGTGAGGAGATTGTCCAGTATTCACTGCCATATAGGAGGACTGGTATTACATAACAGTTCAGTACTGTTTCAAGTCTCTTCTTCATCTGTGAGAAGATTGTCCAGCATTCACTGCCATATAGGAGGACTGAGATTACATAACAGTTCAGTACTATTTTCCTTGATTCTCTTGCTTCAAGTCTCATCTTCATCTGTGAGAAGATTGTCCAGCATTCACTGCCATATAGGAGGACTGACATTACATAACTCTTCAGTTTTCTTTTCTTTGTTTTTAACGATATTTTTCTATTTCTTAATACTTAGGTTATGTTTTCAAAATCTATTCCAATGCGGTTTCGGATTTCGGTGTCACACTTTCTATCCTCTGTTAATACGCTTCTCAGATATCTAAATCATTGCAACTGTTTGACTTCGGCGTTCCCAATCCGTAGTTTGAATGTTGGTCCGCCCGTTTTGCTAACAACCACGCGTTCTGTCTTTTTCAAATTCATGCTTAGTATTTTCCTTCTCGCTTTCTTTCATTGCTTTCTGTCAGATTTCTTGAATTTTCCGTTCGGTGTCTGCTGTCAGCTGTCAACTGTCAGATTTGCATATCTTATGTTGTTAAGATTGTGGTCGCTAATAATAAATCCTGGTAGGACTTCTAATTCTTTCAAAATGTCCTCGCTATATGGGTTGAAAAGCTCTGGCGAGAAGAGGTATAAATTTCTAAATAACGTTTCCGTACAAAGATCAGCGAGATGCTTGGCCTTGTGTCAAACTAATCTTTACGTATTTTATCCTGGTTAACTCATCGAAAATATTTCATAAATATGGCGAGTGTGTCTCTTTTCTCATCTAAATGAAGCTTATCCTCAGTAGCCAGAATGTAAGAGTAGTCTCCTTATTTTCGACCACTTCTTTTTTAAATTCAATTTTTGAATTCAGGAGTTCAGGACACACGACGTTGAGATTTATTGGAACATACTACAGAGCCATTTTCATATGTTTTGCCTGTATTCGAAAGTGTGATCGACATTGGCATTTGCAGGCGCCGGAGGAAAGTTAACTAATAACAAACAGGAAAATACCAAGATAAAGAAAACGAAAGAAGAAAAGAAAAAAAAATGATGTAAAAGGAAAAAGGCGTGGAATTTTGCGTACGTTTTTCACACTATATTTCATGAAGTGTCGAGAATGTCGAGAGAGAGAGAGAGAGAGAGAGAGAGAGAGAGATGTGAGAGACTTCACCCCGGGGATTTCAAGTCGTTTGAAATAAAGAT